ACATCCACCATTTATAAGTTAAAAACTCACTGACTGCTCTGCGCAGGAAAACTTTCATGTCAAAGCTTTTTGATTACTCCCATGAACTGACTACCAATTATTTCCATTTACAAAAAAAAAAAAGGAATAAGTATAAAAGGGGTAGATAAGTGCTTTCTACCAAGCTTGGGGGCAAAAACAGGAAACAAAACTGGACTTTCTTAATTTCAGTAGAGAATGTTTTAAAAGAACCATAGTTATCAACAATTTCTTTCAGATATTTCTTGTAACCTCTCAGAACAGATGTGGTAATCAGATGTATTACTGCACAGGACGGATGACCAGAATCGCAGCAGCAGGGCTCTGGCACTAGTCTACGAAATGCTGCGCAGTTCAAGCTTAGCTAGCTGTCAAAGTTAAGCCATTCAGTACCATGGTGTTTGGGATCTCAAATTCCTCATTTCTTCTAAAGTCCTTGAAAAAAATATGAATATTTACGACCAGGCTGACTTTTGATACTCTACTCTTCCCGGCAGTGGATTTAAAAATAAATAAATAAATTATGGAAGGAGGCACAGGACCATTCATTGAGTGCTCTCAGAGTCACCACCCCTGGCCTGCTTTCACAACCATCTCCTCCTCGTGAGATGAATAGTCTCATCCTAACTCGGGAGAGGACTGGTAGAGAAAGACCCAACTTGCCTCAGCTAATTCACCTGGAGGGGGAAAGAAGCCCCTAACACTTGCACGATTCAGCTGATAAAGAAAACTCATTCAGGGTAATTTGGCAGAAAAACAAGGCTTTTGGCATCTAAACCTCCCAGTGCATCACAAACTTCCTGCTATTATCTAATAACTGCCCCCACTCAGCCATCACTGTTTCCATGGTAACCGACAGAGAACTAGCAGCCTGCCAAATGGCTTTTGTAGTTCCTTTTCCAGTTTGTTCTTCAGTAGAGAATTAAAGCTAGCTGGGCCAGGCTAATCTTTGCAAATAGGGACACGATGTGGTTTAAAAAGTACAACCAGGTTTGGGACAAGAAGTGCAGAAATGCTTTCCTGACCTACCCCAACAGCATAACATAAAAGGTCTACTGAGGTATGTTCAGCAAGCTTTGCCTTCATCTTTAGACAGGAGAGCCTGGCACTGGCCAGGATACAGGTACGATGTTTTTCACTCAACCTCTGATATGAACTACACAAGAGAGAGATGGGCTGAATGGAAGGAGAGCAAGATCAAACAGGTCACCTATGCCCCAGGTACAGCACCTTCGTATCATTCAAGGAGATGGCAGCTTACTCTAAAATCAAAATGAATGAGCCAGAGTGGACTGACTTGGACTAGAGAACAGTGAAAGAAGAACTGGCACCTTGAAGGAGTGTAATGTTTAATCCCAGGGTGAGATATGCAGGAAGCCGACTGCCAACGCAATGAATCAGAGGAGCACTGGTGCTTAGGAAACAAACATCTCCTGCTTGCCAGTGCGGGGAGGATCTGTGAGGAATACGACGTGAGGAACTGGGGCAGCTCTCAGAAGATCACTGGCTACAGAGATCTGCTCGAGGTGCCAGACTGCGAAACAAACAGCTGCTGCAGGGATGGAGGACTTTGAATTTTAAAAAAATTAAGACTATTTCTCTTTGCAAGTAGCCAAAAACAAATGCTTTTGTCTCATAATTTCATATTTGCATGAAGGGCAGGAAATCTCATGACTTCAGGCTGCATCAGCTGAGAAACTGTGACCCCAGGCATGTGTTAGTATCTTCTCTGATAGACCAAAGCTAAGAGGATTTCCCAGGGTTCCTCCCACAACCTTTAACACACTCACATGTCCTGCTGACAGACATGAAAACCACTATCTATAGTGGTAGTCTGAGATACAGTTCTAACAGTTATAGACGCCTACAAATCCCACACAGAAGATTAACCTAGTCTATGCTTTTTAATTTATACTTTTACTTTGGGTTGTATGAATCACGAGTCACGTTCTCAGAGTGTTGACAAAGTTGTGCAATAATTATTTCCCTTCATCCGTTGGAAGAAAGGGCTGTTTACAATAAGATAAAGATGTCTACCTAAGAAATATCTCCATAGCTGTCAACGAACGGCTTCTGCACTGCTAGTTCAGTTACATTTGCGGGACCTCAGATCTTTGGGATCTGGCAATGAAACCTGAAGGAGTCTTTTCAGAAGTTTAAACTTGCGTCCTGTTTACCCAAGAACGGAACTTCTCAGCTGTATTCATTAATGTGTGATTACTATTTCAGTGTGTTGACATGCAATTTCCCCATCTTCAACAAAAGACAGAATTGAGAAGATACACAAAAATTGCACCAAATTCAATCAGGGTTAAGAGGAGCCTAGAAGCCAAAACTCTAGACTAGAGCCAACGGCCTGTGGTATTGACATGTTTATATTTCTTCCCAAGCCCATTTCCTCAGCCATCTTTAGGACCTCATATGTCCCTGCTAATTAGATCAACATTTTCATCAAATCAGCTTCCATAGCTACAGTGCAGACTCCCCGCTGCTGGCAGGCTAGCAGGAGACTCCGAGGTTGCTTCCACTAGGTCCATCAAAACAGCCTCCAAGAAGCCTGAACACAGATTTTGTTCCAAACAGCTGTCCACAGAAAGAATGCCAGAGATTTAGCTCAGTGGTTTCCACCCCCTGCCTTACAAGCACAAGGACCTGAGTTCGATCCCCAGCTCCCCCCAAAAAGAATGTTATACATAAAAACAAAACGAAACAAAAACCAGAGCGCTGCATGTTCTGTGTCCACGCATTAACCTCTAACATAACTGAAATACAGGACCAAGAACTAGGTTGTTTTTGTTTTGTTTTGTTTTTGAGATACTAGGGATTGAACCCAAACCCTTTGCACTGAGCTACAGCCAAAGTCTTTTTTTAGTTTTTCTTTTGAGACAGCGGCTCACTAAGTTGCCCAGGCTGGGCTCAAATGTGATCTTCCTGCCTCAGCCCCTCCTAGTATTCGGGTGACAGGTGTGCAACACAAGAATTAGGTTTTTCTATGAGCAAATGAAGAGCTTCTGCTTTCTGCAGGGGAGAGGAATAGGGTATTTCTGGGCAGCACAACACTGTTTATGTTTAGTAGTTGGAAATTGCTTGTACAGTAAAACTAACTTCCCAGAAAGCACACTTTGGGAATTTTAATCTCCAATCTATAAATAGGGTCCCTCATTTTTTTCAGAAGGGGTGGTGGTGGTGGATATATGTATACAAAGAAACTGGAAGTCAAGACTTAAATACATAGCAACAAACAAAACAGCTGTGAGGAACTAAAGAGCAGGACTGAACCAAAGACAACATACTCGATAGGTGTGTGCCACTCAGAATGCTAGAAAGGGAACTCGGGAAGAAGCCGCGGCACCAGCTCGTGTAGACGGGTCCAGGAGAAAGGGGGTTTCGGCTTGCTCATGCACTGCTGCAGCCCCAGCTCCAGAACCATGCCTAGTGGCAAGCAGATGTTCCATATGCTAGCTGGAGCAGGAGGTCTGCATGTAAATAAGGAGACACATGATATCTCTCTGCAATTCATAAAGCAGGAGTCTCTACTAAGGGTGAGACGAATTCTACACGTGTGTGAACTTGAGATTTAATGAATGGGTGCCCATGTACAAGAGCACCAGACTTCAAAATAATAGAGCAAAGGTTGGGTGGTCTGACTCCCAAGTTGTGCTTCTCGGCACGTGAGCAGGCTTCCCGCCAACGGCCCGGGGAAAGCTACAGTTCTCAGAGAACACGAGCAAGTTAACTTAATAAGACCCCGGGAACTCACAGTTCCCTAATAACAATGACCCAACTTTCATCTAAACAAAGGCAAAGGAAACCTAATCAGTGGAAATGATGCCAACAAACAGTGCTTAATGGCATATATGCAAAATAACTCAATATGCTTCAAATACCATGCCTGGAAAACCAAATGTGCCTCAGGGAGGCAGCCTGGGTCCGTTAATTGCATTCTCAGAGCAGTGTATCTGACGAAAAACAGACACAAGCACTGACTAATAACGATGTGGCCCAAATTAGGTCATATCCATAAAATAGCCTGCTGGCCTTCCACACTGATCAAGTCTGCTGTCATGATATAAGCTGACTAATCAGGAGCCTTGGTTGGAAAAAGACACCAACTCTGGAAATAAGATAATCTTTCGGACATTTGTTCTTTTCTTGGGAGTTCCTACTACCCATCTTCCCATTTGAAGCCTTACAGTTTCGATTTAAAACAATTAGGGCTGGGAGGGTACCTCAGTCGTGGTCTGGGCTTATCATGCAGGAAGCTTTGGGCTCGATCCCCAGAACCAAACAGGAAAAAGACAGAGAGAGTAAAAAATTAATAGCCGTAGTACAGCTCACATGTCATGTAAGCTAGGTAAGAGCTGGATGAAAACTGCAATCATTACACAGTATAGTGGCTGCTTTTCTACCCGAGCTTGGACACAGTGTCACCTCTGCTGATCCAGCTGGAGCATCCTCTCTGAAGGGGCCTTGGGTCCATCTGTCTTTCAGAAGGTTAAGAAGGAATGAGGCTGCATGGGATGTCTCCTCATGGAAAGGTGGCCATGCTCCCACAAAGAGCACTTAATACGAAAGCTTCTTGGAGGCCCTTTCCTGAGCCTTGTTCCTCTCCCTCCACAGCCCTGCTAGCTTGCATGACCCTTCTGTAAGCAACAGGCACAGCTGTAGTCACTGGAGTTAACTGGAGTTAACCTGTCTACCCACAGGTATCTCTCCATGGGGGCAGAGCCTGTTGGCCTTTTCCACCAATGGAAATGAGCCTGAGCCTCTGGCTCAGGGCAGGCAATTCCTGTTGGCTAAGTCAATGCATGGACACCTTGGAAGCCAACAGTTCACAATGGGGCAGGCAATGAGGTGAAAAGATTCCTTTGGTAATACACGTATGCCTATCCTCAGGATCTGCAAACAGGAGCTTTCTAGACTCCGCTTCCATCACAGAGTACCAGGAAGCAAGATGACGACAAAGACAAGAGAATACTCACAGGTTGGGGCTTCTTCCTCATCTCAAAAGTGCGTGTGGCGCCGAAGCTGAGTGAAGCAATGACGGGCCACCTCCCCAGCGCAGGCTCGTCGTCACTGTGCCAGTCCACACTGTCCTTCTCGTTCCGGTAGAGATTGCAGAGTAAGGAGTTAAAGGTGTGGCCGGTGTTCTCTTCAATGCGGTGCTTCAGTGTGCGCAGCACAGGATGCCACTGTGGTCCGCAGGCCAAGGAAGAGCAGAGGCAGACACAAGGGACACACAGTGGCAGTCACATGGAAGCAGAAAGAAGGGCAAAACCAGTCAAGGTATATATAAAGGGGGCACGGAATAAGCAAACCACTTGGAAAAAAATGAACAGAAGGCAGAAAGAGTAGTTTAATTTCCTCCCATCATTTCTGTTCTGAAGCCATTAACCACTCTCATTTTATAAAAGTACTAAATCTGGTAGGGCAATGTCAAGAGGACCAAGGCCTGTCTACCTATCTCCTCTTCCTCCTGTAAACATATGGCCCTCACATAGAAGAAAACATGAATGCATCCAGGGCAGGTAAGTTATGAAGGTAGTAAGCAGAGCAGGGAGGCTGACACGTGGCTTCATGTTGTTAGCAGACAGGATTACACCTGAAAGAACTTTCTGCCAGTGCCCCTCCATTCATTCAGTTTCTATTTAAAATTCAAAGGTGAACTGTTTTCATTCTGAGGTGCTGGGATAGAGCCCAGGGCTTCCTACATGCTGGGCAAGTGCCCTACCACTGAGTCCCCAGGCTCTGCAGAATTGCTTTCTTAAAAAGACCTTTAATCCTTCGAAAGGCTAACTTTCTAAAGACAGAAACTGCAGGGGAAAAATATTCTTTTCCAACAAATGAGAATCATGACATGTTCTTAACAGTATAAGGGCTGTAAACTATAGAAGACTTTGATTTCACAGCCCATCTGCTGAGCACCCTGTTCACTGAAGTAGTTTGTGTCTGGAAACACCTGGCCACGTATTCTACAGGAAGCTATGACCTCTGACCTTAAGGTGTACCCGGGACCAGAACTCTTTTGAGTGGTTTACAAACACTTTACGACAGTTGTTTTCAAACTTTATATAACTAAAATTACTGAAGACCTCCAAGAACTTTTGTGTACTGGGGTTACAGCTATAGATTACACCCATATTAAAAATTAAGACCAGTTTTATCCATTCACACCTCTGTACAATTGGTGCAAATTCAACACAGTGAAAATGCCACATAGTACTATGAAAACAGACTGTGGACTCCCCCCATACCTCCCAGGCCCCACAGGTTATAGTACTGAGTATCACTAACTTAGAGAACTCCTCAAATGTCTGTGTTCTGTGTTTGCTAGTGGCAAATGGATGGGCAGCAAAGGAAAGCTTAATATTTTCAAGTATAGCCCACGGCAACTGTCAGGTAAGACTGCCAGGGAAGCATATGTGAGCATCGCTCTCCACCATCAAAGCTGGGCTTCCTTGTGGGTATTAACACTACCTTCCAAGCAGATTTTTAAAATAAACAAGGACAACAAAGCTTAGATCAATAAAACAAAAATGTTATTAAACTAACCTATGTTCAAGAGAACAAATTCCAAAGTGAAACTACAGTAATAATGTCAGCAGGCTGTATTTCCTATTTATTTTATAGCTTTAAATTTATCTTCATGGAGCTTAAGATCAGATGCTAGATTTATACCCTTGACATGAACATAAAGGAGGAAGGTAGCTTTTCTACAATGTGACTGAGAATCTAATTAGCACTTCCCTGACTTGCTCAGGGGCTGAGCACTGTGATAACATCAAGTTTGCATTCTGTTTCTAAGTGGGTATATATTTTTTCTTAGTTATTTTTGGTAGTGAACCAGAGAAAGGAAGAAAAAAAGGGATAATGAACTAGAGGATTAATTTAGACTCTCTAACCAATACTCTATACAGATTTTTCAGAGCTGAATGTCTAAATTAAAACCCAGCGTCATCTCTGTTGAGTGAAGACATTCTATCCTTAAAAGACATTTGAGGAAGAGTATGAGAAAATATGAATCCCCCAGTAAAAGATCCCAAAGAGGGTTCAGAGAGTCCTAGGAAGTACCAAGATCTCTTATAGGAGAAAGGTGAAATCAGGCCGGTGGCACTCGCAGCCAGCCAAGGATTTGATCTAGTTTATACACTGAGTTCCTAAAAGATTTCTTTTTAACAAAGACTAAAACATGTTTTAAAAATCTATGATTGAACCTGATTCTGGTCTATAGGATATTAAGCTTAAGGCAATAACTTCTGGGTTTTTTTGTTTTTTGGTACCAGGGATTGAACTCGGAACCTTGCGCTTTCGAAGCAGGCACGGTGTCACTGAGCCAAATCCCCGGCCCTGTTTTTGTTTTTAATCCAGGGTCTTCTCACTGAGCTGCATCCCTAGTCCTTTTTATTTATTCTGAGACAGGGTTTTACTAAATCACTCAGTTGTCCAGGCTGGGCCCAAACTTCTGATCTTCCTGCCTCTGTCTCGAGAGTAGCTAGGATTACAGGTGTGCACCACCATGCCTGGCATAACAATTTTAAAATTAAACAAGTACTCCCAACATACATAAACACACATCAGTGAATCCTTCTTTTAAAAATATCTGAGAAAAGGGCAACTTTTTTCTATTTTGTTGAAGATAGCATATAAATGAACTAATCTATCAGCAGGAAACACAAATTCCAAATTAAAGAATCCTTATTTGAAAAACTTAATATTCAATATTTAATAATAGTAAAGCATGGGGATGATATGTAGTTAAATGAAACATACTATACATAATTTTATTTTTATAGAAAAAAGTCTTTGCCTAAACTAAAAATGATCAGAACTAAAATATCAGAATTATCCAAAATATTGATATTCATCTTTACGTTTATCTGCAGTCTCTAAAATTTTTTTTTTTTGTACCGGGAATTGAACTAGGGACCTTGAGCTTGTGAGGCAGGCGGTGGAACCACTGAGCTAAATCCCTGGGCCTGACTCTAAATTTTTAATAAGTATGTATTACATCATAAAAAATTCTTGCCAAGTGGAGTGGCACACAACTGTAATCCCAGACTCTGGGAGGCTGAGGTAGAAGGATCACAAGTTCCAGCCCAGCCTGGGCAACTTAAAGACTCAGCAAGACCCTGTCTTGAAATGAAATACAAAAGGGCTGGGGATGTGGCTCAGTGTGCAGGGCCTAGGTTCAATCAACCTCCAAAACCACCAAAAAAGAAAAGAAAAAGATTATTTTGCAGAGTAGTCAAATGTCCCCAAAGTGAAAGAAAACAAGCAGGTACTTTATTTAGCAAACTGACTTTCATTGAACAGTAAAACGGGTTCTTAACCAGGGGCCACTTGCCCTCAGCAGACAAGTGGCACTGTCTGCAGTCACTCTTGGCTGTTGTTACTGCTGTGAATCTAGAGTGCAGAGACCATGGGTACTGCTGAGCCTCCCACAGCACTCAGGATGGCCCCATGACAGATTTACCCAACCCAAAATGTCAACCATGCGAGGAGAGAAATCTTTCTAGGAGATGAACTAGAATGAATGGAAAAGAACTCCTTCCCCATGGCCTATTTAATCCTCAACCTCTCTGCTACTAGGACTGTTGACAAGAAGGTAAATTTAATCTGAGAGGAACAAGGCAGTAGTCTACACTGAACTGGCCTAGTGCGATTCTCTCTGTTTCCAAATCAGCCTCAGATATAAAGGGTCTCAACACCTCCCTAGGACACATAATAAATGCAGTCCTAGAAACCAAAGTATTTGTCCTTACATGAAAATCCATGTGCTCCTGGGCAATGTTTCATTCCTGTGCATTTTAGTAAAGAGGTAGTTTGTGATTACATATTACTGGAAGCTCTAAAATATGTCACATTTCTGTGTATCCAAATATCCGAAGCAAAACTCCATTTTCATCAAAGACTCTTTCCATAAAGCATGGCACTATCTGCCAAAGGCAAGATACTGGGAACTAAACAGAGAGCTATTTCTTGGACCTCAACTCCATCCTCTGGACAAGCTTAATTTGAACACTAAAATATCCTGGTCTACTGTCATAGAAATTTCTAAAAACAAAAGAAGCGGGAGAAACAAGCCAAAGGGGTAATAAGCTGACGTCTAAGCAAAAGGGCCCTAGTACGATTCCCGGAGTCAAAAAAAAAAAAAAAAAAAAAAAAAAAAAGGATGGGGGCGCCAGCAAATAGCAAAAGAGCCTGAGAAATGGAACAAGACATTCTGACCTTCTGCTTACTGCCCAGCCATAAGGATGTAGCCGCACAGCAAATAAATGAGTACCAGGGTGTGCACAGAAGGGTCAGGGCCAGAAAAGCTTGGAAAGGGAGGTCTCAGAAAAAACTCCATGTTCCTGAAATCCTGGGCTCTAGTTCCAGTTTTCTCTTTTGCTCTGAGTTCATTTATGGATCAAAGACATAAAAGACGGCAAGCACAAAACCTCAATGCTTGAGCCCAGAGGTTTATTTTGAACTAGGAACCATCAAGTATCCCCGTCAGGTCTTCCTGTTATTTTATGTCTATGTCTATAAAACCGCACCAAGGACAGTATTTCAACATACGTGAGGATTTGGTTCCATAGTGACTCTTGAATAAGTGTAAGGAAGTTCTCCATACCATGCTGTAAGTCTTGGTTGCAGGTAAGTTATATCTAAGAAAGAAAAACAGGGCTCTGAGACAGTGTGGTGCTCTGTGAGATGTACCTACTACAAGCCAACTCTGCCTTGCGATCAATGTCAAGAAGCCAAGAGAAACACAAAGGAAGAGGAAGGACAAGTGTTAGGGTTTGTATCTGGATGTCCCCCAAAACCTCATGTGCTCAAAGGCAGGGCTCTGGAAGGGTCTGGATTGCGGGATGTTACAGCTAAATGTGATGTCAGGAGCTGGGGCCCTTTTGGAGGAGGCGGTCACTGAGGGTGTGACCTGGAAAGGTGTCTCTCCTTCCCGGGTTCTTCCCCTTACCCTCCATTGCCCGGATGCTAGGCCATGAACAGCTCTCCCCGGCCTAAGCCCTGCCACCATGCTGCTGACCTTGCCAAGACTGCAACTTCTAGAACATGAGCCAAAATAAACCTCTCCTCCCCTACCTGTCCTGGATTATGGCTCAGCAACAAGCAAAGTGCCTAAGGCCGTGGCTCCGCCTGCACAGAGGATATAGGTAGGGGCTGGTAGAATGGTTAGGGACCCCATGAAGAAAAGACAAGGCAGAAACAGCCTGGGCAAAGGTCCTGAGATGAGAACGCGTGCGATGTGTCTGCCTCATTTAAAAAATTCTCAAAAAGCAGGATATGGAGCCTGGGCCCCTGCAGATAGGAAACGGTGGGACTAACATTCCTGAGAAGAACAAGACAGACTGTTCACCCATGTGTCCAACACTGTAGAAACCCTTCTGATTCCAAATGAAGGAGAAAGTGTCCTGAGCAACTGCAGCATGCGGCCGATTTTAGTCAGAAGTTTTTGACGTCTAAGTTTATTTAGACAGAGAGTTACCCACAGATCTGCTGTTTTTCCTACAACCAGTTACAAGGACAGGAATGATAATAATAAAAAGCAGGGCTGGGGCTGTTGCTCAGGGGTACAGCATGTCCTTTGTATATGTGAGACCCTGGGTTCAAGCCTCAGCACACACACACAAAAAAAGAGGCACTAACATTCACTGAAGACTTGCCATGTACTAGGGATGCAGTTCAGCACTCATCATGCATTATTACCTCATTTAATTAACACAGCAACCTTAAAAGACAGGCATTTATTAGCTCAATTTTAAAGGTAAGAAAACCAAGGATTAGAGAGCTGCTTAATTGTAATGTGCCAGAAATTAACAATTACTTTGAATGAGAGAACAAGCAAAGAAGGTAACCAAGAGCCCCAGTATGAAAAGTCTTGAGAGTTGGGAGGTTTCCCTGAACAAGATGATTCCTATTCTGATGAATAATAAAAATGAAGCCGCTATAACTGTCTCTTTCTTTACAGAAAACGAGCCAGGAAGGAAATTCTATGCTAGATCCCGGACGCCCCCCAGTGGCCACCTGTGGAATACCAGGGACTGCTGGCTCACTGACACCCGCAGAGGAAAGGAGCAGGTTTCGAGTAAAGCCGTAAACATTTCACCTTTACAAGCTCAGGAGAATAGAGACTGAAACCAAAGGAAAGCAGACTCTTCTGATGAATAAAATCAGAATCAAAAGTCAGTAAAAAAGGACTGCAAAAGAATGTATGCCAAACTGCACCAGAAAAAAGCAAGCTCTGGAAGCTTCTAGAAGAGGGAAGCTAGCACCACTAGAAGTGGCAGAGGCAGTAAGTAACATAACAAGGTGAGTCGGCCAGCCACAGTGCAGACAACCCAGCTTCCTCTGGGCTCCTCTCCACTCCGGCCAGGGCCTGCCTCATCTCTGGGCCTTCCGCTGGGTGCTTCTTTCGCCTGGAAGACTTCCCTCGAGGCCTCTGGGCCTGGCTACCCCTGCTCCTCAGGGCCTCAGGTTCTGAATCTTAGGAGCAGCTGTGGGGAGCACACCCAGTGGTAGCAGAAGGCATTCCAAGAGGGGGTCCAGGCAGCAACCTCTGGGGCCTCAGCGGTTCCTTACCCTCTCTGATGCCTGTCCTCTGTTTCCAGGGAACATCCCGACACAGCTGTTCCAAGACCCAGTCGGCTTCCTTTGAGTCAACAAAGCCAGGATACAAACGCACCCTTGATGCAGAAAGAAACATTGACTAAAGAACACAGCAAAGATGGGTTAGACCAGTGGTGGCTAATCTAAGGCACAGGTGCCACAGCGGGCTGTCTGTATCATTGAAAGCTTTAGAGCTTTCAGTTCGCCATCACTGGTTAGGCTCTAACCCGAGCACAGTATGTTCACCCAGGTCGTCCTCTAATGGGCTGACAAAATCCTCTTTCCACCTCCCACAGCAACAGAACTCAGCATGGCCCAGGTTGTGACGGCCGCGATGTAAAGTCAAGTCCTTCCATGTTAAGACAAAGCGGCAGTGATGGATAAAGGATGCGTGAGAGCTTTACTAACTGTGGTCCAAATACTACTCAAGAATGTGACTAGTACTGACCAATGCTACCAAGAACTTAAGGGATAGAAACTACTAGCAGGGCTCAGCTGTGACACACTGGCAAGTTACTTGACTTCCCTGAGCCTTCATTCTTCTCATCTGTAACCCAAAGATGACATCTATCTCATTAAGTACTTGAAGAATAAACAAGAGTAACTAATAAAAAATAAAAATTTTAACCACTGGTAGTTTTTGGAGATTATGCCCAGTCTAGAGAAAGATCATTATGACTAAATTAAAATAAACATAACCAAATGAGGGTGCTTCCCCCTCACTGAATATATTGCTTACTTCAGCAATGCCAATTTAGCTCAAAATCATTCTGGACATCTTTCTTAAGGTGTGCTCTGAGAACCCACAGGACATTCTCTTGGATAGCCCTGGTGGCAGCAAATCCTCACTCTGAAGTCACGTTTGATTTCCTGAAAGAGCCAAGGCTCCCCCGACACCATAACCGGTAAACAATGTAGTGTGACCAAAACAGTGCAGCTGGGCTTGTGTGGCTGCCAACCTTGCTTTACAGGGAGGTTCCAAAAAGCGTCACAGCAAAGGCAGCACCCAACTCTTTACAAAGCCTTACAAGTACTGTGCAGGGTTGGGGCAAGAGGGTGGCAAGTTCGAGCCCAGTCTGGGCAATTTAATGACTCAGTGGGTTAAAAATCCTGTCTCAAAGCAAAACACCCCCAACAACTAAAGTGTGTGTGGTGGGCTGGGGATGAAGCTCAGGGCAAAGTCCTAGGTTCAAACCCCCCTCAAAAGGCCTTATGGAAGCCTTGTTTTAAGCAACTGATTTCATGTGTTTTAAGTTCTAACATATTTGTCTTAAGTGTCTCATTACTTTATAGTGACAATTACTATACTCCTGCATTAAGGTGAGGTTTTAAAAATAATGCCTTAGTGCCGAATATATGCTTTCACTTTACTGAACTCTGCCCTAATGTAGTGCTATACTACAATATAATATATAAAGTTCATAAAACGCAAAATAATAATGTAACGCAGCACTCATGTATAGATCCAACGCTAATATTAAGTCACCATGTTCACCAGGACAAAGGACTCGAACTCTCTAGGCCACATTTCCTCATCTGAGAAACTAGGGTAGTAATAGTTACTACATCTGAGAGAGAGACTGTGAAAATTACTTGATGCTAGAAAGACATTACCAGATCCTCATTCCCTGAGAATTTAAAGGGAAGAAATTACCTATTTCAAACAGGAGAGCAGTCTAACTTGATGACAGTTACAGTCACCTTCTGCTGAGGACTCACTTACCTAGACACACCTGTAGGTGACAGGCTGATTTCATACACACCCTCCCTGCTAAAGAAAGGGAGGAAAGAGACTGTTAGTATGAGACAAAACAACACCCTGCACCCCGTGGAAGGGCTCTCCTTTTGATCCCCAAGACCTGGCTCACTAAGATCACTTCACTATGCCTGAGCCTGGTGAGGGAGGCATAACCCCCACCTTCTGTCACTAAGACAGGTTATGAGATGGGGGTGCATCATCATAGCCGTTGGGAATAGAACCTGAGAGGGTCAGGGCACGAGACAAAAATGGGATAAAATAAATTCTGATTCTATCCTTTGTATTTCACCTGTAATTTAGGCTGATGTGATCCAGAAATCTATTACACAAAGGGGTGCAAAATCTATCACACAAAAGGATCCCTTTCCTTTGCAGAGTTTGGAATAGAGGATGCTACCAAATAGCAAGCACACTGTGGGGCTCCGAGCTTCCGTTGCTTTCAAAGATACATGTCTAGCGAGTCCTCTGAGTAAAATCCTTCAATGGCTCCACATAGCTGCAGGCAAGGTTCTCATGATCTAGCACCCTCCTCCTCCTCTAACAAGCGCTTGGGATCTCACCACAACCCCATGCCTGCTATGCCCTCTGCCACTCAGCATCCCCAACCCAGCCCTGTGCCAGCTTTGGTGCCTGGGAAATGCTACGCTGTCCTTCAAAAACCTCGCTGGCCGTCACCTCTACCTTTCCTGACCTTTGAATCATGCAAGTAATACTACCCAACTCATCCTGTGGGTGCTGGCAGTACAAGTCTACTATTTTAAGATATACAAAATTACAACACAATTTGTCTATAAGCCCATGTCATCTACTAGACTGCGGGCCCTCTAGGGGGCAAGAAATGGGTTATTATTGTTTCCCAGTGCCTGCACACAGTACATGGAAACGTACCTCTTACTCAATTTCATCAATGTGAAAAAGTACAAAACAATTGCAGATAAGCAGGCTGTAAGGTCCGTGATGAGAAAAGCAACACAGACCAGACAGGGACATCTACTCCAACAACTGTCTGACCCTTTTCAGCTGGGCTCTTAGGTAGACGTGTGAGGCCCTTTGAGCCAAATGTGTAGGCACAGTTATTGTACGTACTGTAGGGACCACTTGCTGTATACGACTTCTCTATAGTTTTCCAGAGCATGAATACAATATTTTAATATGTTTTGGCCCACATTTAGAAAATGGCTCACTTTAACTATGGAACACATTTCTGGGTATTAAAAACAAATCTAGCATAGTTAACTTTAGATAATCAGAATTAACAAACCCTGGGGTAAACAGCATGGGATTTTGGCATTTTTCTCGTGATTTAGCAACTCCAAATTGCCCATTTTTTTTTCCAGTCTGAATATCCCACTGTCAGGGTTTTTATAGTTTTGTTTATTCTCTTTATAACCAATTACCACACTGGTATTTTAAAAATAATTAAAGATTACCAGAACTAGCCTGAACCTGAAGTGATTATAAAAATCCAGGTCCCTACTTTGAAGACAAGCATACTGAAATCCAGAGAAATGTCAAGAACTATACAGTTAACTAGTGGCAAGCCAATACTATACTTCCCTTTGAAAATATATTTGTGTTAAGTTTCAAATTCTTCTACTACATAAGCCAATCTGCAAAAAAGTCAAAAAAGTGTAACAGATTGCTCGTGGGAAAGAATATACATCTAATACTAATTTTCTAAAATAAAAGGATACTGATATCAGATGGAAACTGAGGAGCAGGAATTTTAAAAATAATAAAAGTATCTCTCATGAATTTTGGATAAGAACATTTTAGACACAGATCAATGTAAGAGGAATATCATTTAAATCACTTTGGAGCGGTGTAGTTTTAATAAATTGGCTGGATGGTCATCTAGGCTGCCAGCAGCTGCAATAAGAACTGCCAGTGAAACATTGAAAGCGTCACAAAGAGCCAAGCTCCAATGACTCAGGGCCCCCCATCTTTAGCTAAGGGGTCTTTTAGTTCACTGTCTAGGTATCAGTGGAAGAGGGCCAGGAAACCCACACCTGCATCAACATTTACTGCCACAGATCTTGTTGCTTTTTTCCATACAATCAGCAAATTCAGGAAGTCCTCTCAAAAGTGCAAGTTTAAAGATAGAGTGTGGAATATCCCAGCCTAAGATTACAACACTTATTGGGCTATTCTCTTCCACGTGGAGCAGTCGGGGTGAGGGAAAGATCATGTCACCAATGACAGGAGGGCGGCAGATGACTTACTCGATCACTTGTGGTTCTGGGGCTCTGCGTACTACCTGCAAGGAAACAGGCAGATCTGAATTCTGGAACAATTCCTAACCATCCGGAACACTGATTCACCCTAAATTCTCTCATTTCTGCTCAGAAAAAGTCAGGTCTACAACTATCTCTTTTTTATTCCAATCTCTCACTACCTTTTTTTCTGTTCTTCTTAGAACAACACATCACACTTGCTAGCAGACAGAAAAAGATAGTTGGAATTAATCAATCCTACTGGCCAGCAGCTCTGGAGAAGCATTCTTTACATAAAATATTTTTTAAAAATTGAAGATATATTATAAAATAAAGACTTTTGAGAATTATTTATGGAATCATTATTACAGCAAAATGCCTGATTTTTTAAAACTTTTTTTCCATATTGTTAAAAAATAAGCACTGGGGATATAGCTCAGTAATAGAATGGCTGCCTCACATGCATAAGGCCCTGGATTCGATCCCCAGCACTACCAAAAAAAAAAAGTAAACTTTCTGTTTTTTACATTTTCCCCCCTATGGAAAATATGAGCTAACAATCAGGCATTTTGCTAGCACTGAAATTTCAATTCGATTCCAAAGACATTTGCTGTAACAGCACTAAAGACAGCACGGTTTTGGAACTGTAAGACCTCTGATCACCCACGGAAGCCCTCATCATGGTATAACCTTTAGCCTCTACTCATGGTATAGCTTCCCCGCCCCTCCCCCCAAACAGGAATAATGTATGACCATCAGCTGGGGGGCAGAAAATGAAGGATTTTTTAGACACAAGGAGGGAACTGAAATATTTCATATTTCATTATAATCTTTTTGTTCTGCTATTCATTAGTAAATTTATTCAGGCCCTATTTGAGTTCCTGCTACACAGAAATGGCTTTTATAAGCAAATCCTTGTTCCTGCTGAAGAAGAAACAACAATTTACCTGCTGGGGTTCTTTGAACACAAACTCTCTGTCAGACAGATGATGCTCCTTGTTCCTCCAGGTCTGGCCAGGTGTCTGGTGGCTCCCAGCAGCAACAGCTGAGAAAGGAGCGAGAACAGCCTCAGACCAGTCTGTTCTCACATGAACAGTCATGTTCTACCCAGCAAGGGCCAGTAAAATGTCCTCAGAGATGACCCTGTCACATTTAAAACTAATCAGTGAAGTCATCAGAAGACTTCGACACACTCTGAAAGGTCTGAGGGCACTGGTTAAATAGAAGGAACATAAAGACCCCTTCATTTAGCTCATCATCAAAATCAGACAAAACACCAGCCGTATTTTAAACAATTCCTTAATATCAACTGAAGTGGAGTTCATTATAAACCAAAAGGATATAAATAAGACAGCAGAATAGTTGCCCACACCCATAAACACGCACAACCCCACAGGTTCTTGCCTGGCTGAGCAGCTGGCTGTTTCTTAGGGGCAGCCCAGGCTCCCTGCACTCGCGCTTGCTGTCTTTTGTCTGCCATGCTGACCAAAAAAGCTTCTGCTCTGCGCTCCCAGAAGATTTCATTCCTGATTCAAACCACACAATGGTACCTGTGTGAGGGGGGAAAAGTACTTTTAGTTAGGATCTTGAGTTTGGCCTGCTAACAGGTAATCACGATCCTGTTGGGAAGAAGAGATGGGTGAGTAGCAATCAGAGCTTCTGTACAAAATCAGCTTCTTTCTGCCATCACATCTCAGTCAAGGAGCCCAAGTCACTTGGGACTCCTGGTGTATCTTCTGTAAGCTTATCGTAGAACTTTCACTTCTTTCACAAAAAAGGGCACGTTTCTAAAAGCACAACCTCTCATAGACTACGTTATTCTTATTAGTCTCCAAGAGGAGAAAATTAGGAAGCTGTAACACTCCTACCATCTCCAAGACATTAAGAAATAGGCTAAGATTCAGTTCCCAAGTGCATTTCCACATTGCATTATCACTGCTGCACCACACTCTCCTGGAAGCTAGTTAAAAGCATCCACGGTGGATGAATCTGGAGGACTTCATGCGGTATGAAATAAGGTAGAGACAGAAAGACAAAGATAGTGTGATCTCACTTATGTGTAGAATCTAAAAAAGTCAAACTTCTACAAGTAAAGAGTAGAATGGCAATTACTAGTGGGCAGTGGAGGGGGTAGAAGGGAAAAGGAAGACACTGATTGAAGGGTACAAAGTTTCAGTTAGACAAGAGAAGTAAGCTTTAGTGATCTATTGCAAACTGATGACTATAATAAATATCAATGAACTGTATATTTCAAAATTGCTAAGAGTAGATTTTAAGTGTATTTCACCACAAAATAAGAGAGGTGATAGATTTATTAGCTTTATTTCATCGATCTACAATATAAATATATATCAAAACATCACGCTGTACCCCATAAATATATACAACTGTTATTTGTCATAGTAAGATCTGAAATACTTAAAGTTTAATAAATTTAAATTTAAAATACCTTAGCCTGCCTCCAGAAAATGTGATTTAGGATGGAAATAATTGTTTGTCTTTATGATACGCAAGGCAGATGATTTTACACTGGTATGTATGGGGACCACAGGTCACTCAGGAAATCAATAGTTTGAATCAATTAATATTCAAATTTTACTAAGATTCAGTCTTCAGCTAACTGAAAAAATTCACCTCATAACAAATAATAAAAACAAGCAGTCAGGCCCCATGTTCTGAATCTATGATCTACTTCTTGGGTCTAGGAAAGCTTCACATCTCAAGTTCTTAAAGATAATACCCACACTTCATGGCTTGTTTAGCCTACAGATTCCCAGGCCCCACTCCTAGATCTTCTGATTTAAGAAAACTGAGCTAGGCCCAGGAATCTGAATGTTTAACAAGTTCCCGTAATCCTAGAAAAAAAAAAACAAACCGCATGCTTATCATGGGTAGGGAGATGACCGAGGCTGCCATCTGCCCAAACGAGTTAATGCCACAATCAAAACCAACTCTCTAGTCCCACAAGATGTGTGAAGGTAGCCCCCATTTGACATCTTCTCTGGATTGAGGCCTTAAAAGCTTAACCTGACAACTTGCTATTGGCCCCCAAAGGACTATGACCCGCTCATATTCTTGCTCCGTTCAGACGGGAGCAACACATTAGCTGCAGGGAGGCAGCTGTTGAAAATATAGATTCCAGGGCCCAATCTCACACTTAATCTGTTAAGTCCCAGACATAATCAATTTGTGGGATCTCTGATTCTCTTAACCAACCGCAACCTCCACCCCGGGATTCTTCGTGGAGATAAAGCCCGAGGACCCTATTGCAGGGCAAAGAACAGGGACTCCAGATCCGTCAGTTCCCAGCTTCATAGCCTGTGCCAGATGACTTCACCTTTTTGAGTCCCAGTTTCTTCCTCAATAAACAGAGATATCAATACTTCCCTCACAGATGAGGCGCAGCGGAAGCGAGAACGAAACTGATCCTTGGAAAGGGTTCGCTCCTTTCTCTCATTTAGACCCTTTTCCTCCAGGATGAGGCCACAGAGGACGTTCAGGAACTGACCTTAGAGCGATCCTCACATCCCCAGGTGAGGGCACCTGGGGTGCCCAGGGGTAAACTGGGAGGGCGCACACCCGCTGACGAAGCGGTGCGGCAGGTTCAAACTCACTCGCGCTTGGAGGAGCTCGCCCGCTCCAGACCCTCTTCCAGCGCCTGTGGTCCGGGGAAGCTTAAGAGTGAGGCACGAACTCCTGCAACAGCCAACCACAGGCCTCGGTGATACGCACTTCCTCCCAACGTCACGCGCTCCCAACTTCACTTCCGGTGCACGGTCTTGAGTCCGGGTAGCTTCATGTTTCTGGCGCCTCAGGGGCCGGTGCACTGGGAGGACGGAGTTAGACCTGCGTGCAGGAATCGAGTATGAAGTGGAGCGGGTGGGGTTACAGCCGCGTCTGCTAGGCCGAGTTACTCAGAACCTGAGTTCCCCGAAACTGGAGACGGCCAGGCGCCAGGATTTTGGGTCCACTGCGGCAAGAACGACCTCTTTCCAGCAAAGCTGATGGAAGGGTTAGGGAGTTGGAGGTCTAGGTCATGGAGTTTAACTAAGCAAAAGAATTTGCATTTAATCCTGAAAGCCAGGAAGAGCCCTGGATACGTCTGCTGCGGGTTCCCATTGCATCTTGGGCAATACCTCGAGCATAGATAGCGTTTACCATAGACTAGACCGCGGACCACGCCTTAGTCGTCTCTGCTCTCCTGCGCTGAGCCAATTTTGCTTGAATAAATAGACCCAAATTTCAGATGCTACCGCTGGGACTAGATCTTTTGGGTAGAATTAAAAGAGGTGTAAAATATTTTTAAAATTTAGCTAGATGTGGCCTATAATAAATAAACCCCTGCCAGACCCTATCCATAAAAAGAAAAAAGGCTTGGGATGTAGCTTAGGCACTGAGTTCATTCCCATTTCCCAGCACCATCAAAAAAACAAAAACAAAAACAAAATACAAAAAAATTACAAATTCAAACACACACAAAAAATCAAACATGAACAGTGTTCTCACCCCCATCCAAGCTCTTGAGAAATGTCGTGAAAATGTTCTTATTAACCCTTGGACTTTATCGTGTAAAAATAGTAACTAAAGCACTGAATTACTACTTTGTTCAAGTTGTCCTCTGAGATGTACAAAAACGTGGTCGCTGTGAAACCTTTAAAATGCGTCTAATACTAGATGGCACATGCCTCCAGGAAGCTCAGTATACCTCATCAATGTACCTGTATTGTTGCTACTGTCAGGTGTAGTTTTCACAACACCTGTTATTCTTTGTTACACTTTGTGACACTGAAACAAAAAAATGATTTATCCTAGAACTGAGCAGAGAGGAAGTTGTGACTATAATTTTCACTTTTTTCATCAACTAGCAATTTGTCAATGTCTCCTTCTGGCTCAGGAACCTTGGCTGTATCTCCCAAAGGATGTGATTTCTTTCCTTTCAATGATTGTAGTTTTGGAACAAGAACAAAGAAGTCTGGATTGAGAAGTCCCTGAAAGCAGTGATTAACACCTGTTCAACCTTCAAGTACATGTCTCCAAAAAAAAAAAATCAATCCATGGCCTGTTTACAACTGAAATCGCTGCATTTAAAAAAAAAACAAAACAGAATCACTTCCAGTTTTAGCAGGACCCAAGCAATTCTGATGTGTAGAAATGTTGGAATACTCCAACCTCCTGATTAAAGAGGAGGGCTGATTTGCTTGAGAGTGACTGATTTGCTTGCACTACTGACACAAGTATATACTGTACATTTTCCTCCAACCCTTCATCGAACTAAATACAGCTATTTAACAGAATGATTGCATGTTGGGGAAGTGTAAATACTTAGACCTTTTAGGGGTTCCTGGACACTGGCTCCCTGAAACTAATTCCTGAGAACCTAAAACACCACTGTGTCCCATTAGTAAGAGAGGAGTTATGGTGTTCAGGTGAGAGATGGACTCTTAGCTGAAGTCTGATTCTCAGTTTTCTTACTTGATCCATAGATACACTCTGCTGTTATTTCTCCAGTTACTGACTATAATTGGGTTAGATATATTTAGCAGCTTGCAGAATTCCTACAATTGGTAGTGGGTCATTTGGTAGAAAAAGCTAAATGGAAACTCTGAAAACTTTCCTCCCTACTAAAATAGTAACAGTAGCCATACCACATCTCTGGGAGAATTACAGAGATCAATGCCACAAAGACTTGAAAAAATCAGATAATGGTACCTTTCATATTCCCATTTAATTCACTCTTGACCTATGCAGATGTCAGATGGATCTTGGTAAATAACTGTAGTCTATTGTAAATTCAGTCAGTTGGTAACCATGAGGCAGCTGCTGTCCTGTGTGTACTATCTTTACTGAATTGATCAACATTGCTTTTGGTGTTCAGCTATTGACCTGACTCATGCCTTTTTCTCCATATCACACAAGAAGCATTTTTGCCTTTACATGGTGGGGCCAACAGTATACTTGTATAGATTTGCCAAAGGGTTATCTCAATTCTTCTGTTTTCTGCTGTACTAATAGTTAAATGTGTCTGTGGCAAATAGTGAAGCTGTATGAAGCCTCTGCCAAGCACCAATAGAAGAGTCACAACTCAGATCTCTAGGATTGTTGTTTGTTTATTTGGGGTACTGGGGATTGAATCCAGGTGCTATTTACCACTGGGTATATCCCCACTCTTTGTATTTTCTTTTGAGACAGGATCTCACTAAGTTTTCCAGGCTGGGCCCAAATGTGTGATCCTCTTGCCTCAGCCTCCCAAGTAGCTGGGATTACAGGTGATTCCAACTGCTCCCACAGCCAAGACTGACAGGATTTTGGAGAGAATATATGACTGCTTCTATAGCTAATTCTTCTTCTTCTTTATATAATTAGCTTGCCACTGGGCCTTGGTAGAAACTGAATACCTAACAGTGGAACATTAGGTGACCATGTATCCTAGGCTTCTCATCATGACTGAAGGTTGTCTGACTCACCTTGCTTTAAAGTTACAGTAGCAAGATATTATCAGATGGAAATGTATAAGAGACAGCTCAGGCAGGATTGGGAGGTGTGAACACATTGCATGAGCAGATAACACCAACTTTGGCTGCATTGCTTCTCCTTCAATCCTTCTGTGGCAGTTAAGGTGAAGTGTCAATGTGATTGGCTTTGGGATTCGTTTGGGGTATTGTTGGATCACTCCTCTGTGTGTTTCTGAATGGTTCATGGAGGCTGATATATATATATATATATATATATATATTTATATATATATATTTATATATATATATTTTTTTATATATATATATATAAATATATATATATATGTGGGTGCTCTATATGGTCCCTGGCTTGTATCTTGGGTGGCACCATTCCCCTCCTCTGCTACCCAGCTGCCATGAACTGAATGGCTGTGTTTCACCATTCTCTTCTGCCATGATGTTTCTGCCTTGGAGCCTTCTGACCATGGACTGAATCCCCTTAAAACATGAGCCCAGTTAAGCTTCTTCTCCTTTAAGTTGTGGGTGTCAGGTACTGTGTACAAGCTATGGCCTTTGGTGTTCCTTTCAACCAGTTGACTGAGAAGTATTTTCAAGTGGCCTATTTTATAGATGAGTCTACATGATGTGCTAATATTACCCCCAAAGTGGGCACCTGACACACTATAGCACCACTCGGGTGGGACCTTAAAAGATAGGGATTAAGGACAATCTTTCTGATGGGTAGAACCTCAAGAAGTATAATAGGTTGTCCACTTTGTAGTGAGAGATGGCCAGAAATACAGCCTAGAAGTGTCCCTCCTACACTCTGTGGAATGGACACACCTGGCTTGCCTGGGCTGCCATGAGTGGAAAGGAATTGTCTCAGGCCATATGTAAAATACATAATATCATTCATAGAAGTAACAAAACTTCTTTTTTTTTATATTTCTTATTATAACACACCCATGCCCAGCCAATGGCCCATAGGTTGGATTATTAAGAACTAGATTGGCTGGATAGTCATTTAAAAGGAACAGGAATTGGAAGACTTGTGACAAGGAAGTCTGGGAAAACACAAAGAGGGTGGATACATACTGTGAAGACGTTTGTGTCCCATATGAATCCTCACCAAAGCATCCCATGCAGACAAGTGTTTTAATAATCAGGACAAAATTATTCATTCTGTTAATGCCAATCAGCCTCTTTTCAGGGATTGTTCAGTAGGTTTCTGAAAAAGTAGCCATGGTGGCAGGGATGGAGAATATAGACAGACTCAACACTATGAATTTCCTCTTTTTGAAGCTGACCTGGCTACTGCTACTACTCTGAATCTAATCCGCAAATGCCAAGACCCATACCAAGCCCTCCATATGTCATCGTTCCCCCAGGCAACTATCCAGCCACTTGGTGGCAGATTGATTACTTTGGACCTTTTCCATAATGAAGAGGGCAGAGATTCCTTCTCACGGGAATATGCACATATTTATTCATGTTCCTTGCCTATGCTGCTTTGGCCAACACTACCATCTGTGGACTGACCAAGTGTTTATTCCCCACCATGGTGTTATACCTCGGATTGTTCCTGATCGAGAACTCATTTCACAGCAAAGGAAGGACAACAATGGGCTGATGGCATGAAATGACCTCCCTGCCACCTGGAGACTTGAAAGGGACACTGGAAAGATGGAATGGCTGACTGAAGAGTCACTTATGGTCCTGACTGGGAGACAAAACCCTGAAAGGGTGACGCTCCATATTACTGGATGCACTACACTCTTCAAATGAGAGATCATGATATGATGATCCCTGCTCCTTAACCAGAATATGTGACTCTGGGAATCAGGGGGTGGAACTGAGCATGCCCACTTTCACTGCTGTATTTGGTAGCCCACTTGCTCCCTCTCACAGCACCTTTGAGCACTACTGATTTGGGAGTGTGAGTTCTTAGGATGAGACTGCTTCTACCAGGGGTAAAGCAACGGTGGGATATGAATCTGCCACCTGGCCATTGGGGAATCCCTGTGTCATTGAACCAAAAAGGCAGAATAAAGCATTGCACTATTGGCTAAAATGATTGATCTCAAGCACCAAAAGGATACTGTGTTGTTGCTACCTAATGTCTGGAACCAATGGATTTTCTGGGATACCTTGTAGTACTTCCTGCCCAAAATAAATGTTAACAGAATATGACAGCAACAGCAGCAGCAGTAACATAATGATCAGTAACTTGGAGCCTTCAGGAATAAGGATTTGGGTCACTT